ACCTTTTGAGGGAAAATGCTAATCAGAACCTATTTCCCTTTGTTTTACATAGGAAAAAATTACTATGTATTATGTATGAATATGCTGAATCCCCATTTCTGTAAAGTAGCAGTTGGTAAATTATGATCTCTGCGCTTGTTTCTGTAAGTAGAGTTTTGTTGGAACACAACCACACCCATTTGTTGACTTGCAGTCCTGGAGCCCTTTCCTACTATGATGGCAGAGCTCAGCAGTTGTGGTAGTCAACTTGTGACTGCAAACCTAATTCACTGTGTGCTCTTTTACGGAAAAGTTTGCCAATCCATTTTTAAAAGCATGACATGTAGTGACATGCTTTTTATATATTAACAAAGGAGATATATAGATGTTCAAAACATTGATTACTCAACAACTCATGTGGTCTCAGTTTACAATTTTGTTTGGAATCTAGCTTTCTTTTTTAAAAATCCCCAAGAGCATCTTAGACACATCTCTTTTGTTACTGCCTTTTCAAAAACCTCTGCAGAACTTTCTGGCCTTCTACTATGTTCTAACTTACCACTTTCCCCTCACAAGTTTTATTTAAAATGTTGTCTTAAATTTGGAGAAGACTGTACATTTTTTTTTTCTTTTGTAAGAAGCAGTTAAAATTTTGTATTTGGAAATAAACATTTTCTCTGAAGGTTGGAGATGAAAGGCCAGTGGGAAATGTCAGCTGGGTTCTCCTTCGGGGGCATCTGCTTGGGTTTCACCTTCTGCAGCTCAGTCTTCTTGCCCATAAAGGGGGCATTAGACTTTTGAAGAATCCAGGAAGGACACGACCGCTGCATTTCCGGAAAATATTAGCTGTTCTTTTTCCGTTTCTCTTTCTTTAGCATAGTTGGAGAAGATTTTACTTTATAACAACAAAATACCTAAGGTAATTTTTCAAAATTTAAAGTGTTTATGCTTACTTCGGTTTGTCCAGAGACCCAGGTGGAAGGCAGGGCGCACTCGGACGGGCGTGTGCGGCGTTCGGGTCAGAGGCACCGGCTGGGGCTCAGGAGCAGTCCGTGGTGACCTGCGGAGGGCCTGGACTCTGTTCTCACCATCCACACCCAACCGGCCTCCCTGCAAAACTTAGGCTGGGTGACGCCACTCAGTGTAGAGCGCGGGCCTAGCACGTTGAAGGCCTGGCTTCAATCCCCGCCACCACCACTGCCGCCGCACGTACGTACGCACGCTCGAATGCACGCACGCACGCACACGCACGCACGCACGCATGCACATTGGCGGGCGCGGGGTGGAGGGCAGAGGGAGGTGGAGACACAGCTACAGCACACATGCCTGGGGCAGTCTTACCCCAGAGCATGCTTACCCTTCAGGCACCACACACTGTACTTTGTTTTTTTTTCGATGTGCCAGGGATCAAACTCAGGACCTTGCGCTTGACAAGCAAGCACTTATTCCACTGAGCTATCTCCTGCCCCCCCCCCCTCACTTTTCCATGTCATTGAGGATGGTGCTGTTGGTGACTCTAACTGGTTTTTCAGGGACCGAGGCTTATTACGTCCAGCGATTCGCAGGGGCTGAGTATTCTCTGCTGAGTCCCAGGGCCTATGACCACGGGAGGAGAGAGGGCCGTGGGATGACGGCACAGGTGACAGGGATCAGAAGGAAAGCGCGTCTGCTCGCCTTGGTCTGCCCTGCCACTCCGTGGCCACGACTCCAGCTTGGGGTCCAGGATGAAGAAACAGATTTGATGGCATTTACACCTGTGGCTTCAGACTGAGCATGTTTTCTTTGAGAGTTGTGAAAGGTGAGAGCTAACCATTAAGACATGATTCCGGTGAGGTCGATCGTCTGTCCACAGTGGGAGCCCATGGGAGGGAGGAGCAGTGTTTGGAGGTCATGATGCTGGTTTGGAACAGTTTATGTGGATACTTGTTTAAATACATTTTAAAAATTAGCCTAAATCTGCTTGCCATGTGTACCATTTAGGTATTGTGGTGTTCCAACAATTACAGCTCTATCTCAAGTAGATACGTACTTAAGAAATGTACTTAAATAGATACGGACTTAAGAAATGTTGTGTATAGTGACATTTTCATTCCTAATATAATCTATGTGGCCTCATATTTGTCTTGCTACTTTCTGAAATCAGAAGTCATTTTTAGTGTAGTAGATTTCTTTTCCAGGCACCAGTTAGAATGTTTGTGGAAATAGTACCTCTGTTATGTAATTCGAATTGCACAGTCTACAATGAACCCCATCAGGAGCATTTCAATTTTTCAATACCTCTAATAGATCTTAGCCTACCTTTTAAAAAAGTTATTCATTTTAAATTATGATTATATGAATATTTTAGGATTATAATCCTCATAAAATGAAGGCAAAATTCATCATACCAAAATAGAAATTTAATTTAAAATAGAACTTGATTACAAGGTTTAGTGGAATAGAAACAAGATATATGAAAGGATATTTAAACACTCTTTGAAAAATCCTCCACAGCACAGCTTTATAATCATTTTGAGAAAAACTACAATGCTCTTTATTGATCCTTTTGCAGATTAGATTTGAGCCAGTTTAAGAACAATTTTGTAAGGTTGAAACAGCACATGAAACCTAGCCTTTTGGTCACCGTGTGAAAAAAACTAATTTACAAATATGCAGTAAGATTCCTAAAATTGGTGATGTTTATTTCAGATGGAAATCATTCCTGACCATGTTGTGATCCAGAGGCCTTGCTCAAAAATTAAGTCCATCCATGGATGTGTGTCACTAAAGCAAGTTCCTTTTCCTTTTCTCAGTCCTGATAGCTTCCCCTCCTACCTGCCATGGTGTCCTTGATGATAGTTGAGGCAGAAAACGAGCGGAGTTGACTGCATTTGTTTTCTAATCAGCCTGTCCTTATTCATCCCTGTTGCTTCTTTGTTACATTAAAGTTCGAATTTACTATTCATGAAACACATTTTAATCAATGACCATATCAGACAAATGGAAGCTAAGCACTGGTTAGTATGTTGGAAATAAACACTAGGGCTCTCATTAATGTTGCTGTCTGAATAATTAGTTGAGCATCAAGTCTTGAGCCGCAGTGAAAGCAAGCTGGCTCCTCACTGGAAAGACAGGCTGACAGCCGCGTCTGGAGCACGGTCATTAGTGGGCCCAGCCATCAATGTCATGTTATTGTGTCAAATTAGTTAGTGTCCCCTTAGCAGAGAAACCAGACCTACAAATTATCCTCCTACATCCCTGGAAACTGTGTTTGCAAAACCTGCGATCAAGTGTGAGCAAATTATTCACATGGCTCATAAATTAACTAGTTTACAGGCTTATAACATTTTACAAGTGGATAATAAAGGATGGAAAAGTTTTCCGACTGCTTTGCCCTGCTGTGAGGGCTGACTGACCATAGTGTCTTCAGGGAGCACTTGGCTGAGAGTTTTTTTGTCAAGAGGAGCAACTTGGGGTATCAGAACGAATGGTTGCAATCACGGGCCTAAAAGGAAGCAAGCGTCGATCCATTGAAGGCCATATAATTAACTTTGTTATCTCATTACTCTGATAAATCTCTGACAATGGTCCTCTTTCTTGTGGTGCCAGTTATTCATTAATGAGTTCACCCATTAAGTTTGAATGATTACAGCCTCTACCAGTTGAATTATCTTTACAAATATTTTCGTACTCTTAAGCTGCTTTGTTGAAGAGGAATAAGGCCAATGCATCACATCTTGTAAGAATGAAAATTCTCGAGCAGTGATCTATTTGCAGCCTCCGTACGCCCAACAATCGGTGCCTAGAAAACAGTCTGGTCAAACCTGGCCTGAATCCACCTCTTGTCTAGACGAGACGCCTTTCAGGAGCACCCTCTCTGAGCTCTGGCTGGGCGCTGCTTGATAGACAGCCCACAGAGCTGCTGGAGATGAGTGACTATTCAAATCACAAACCTCTGTACACCATACATCTCCTTTTCAGTTTCGACTTCTCGAAAAGTTGATTAGGCTAGAAAACATGTACATTCATAGACTATTGCCTGCATTTACCATCAGAAGAGGGCCAAACCCCTCCTGCTGCCCGGGGAGCTCGAGGTGTGTTCTGGTTCTCTGATTTTGGTTTCCTATACTAGAGACAGGCCCTGTGGGTCCATTGTTCTCTTAGGGACCTGTGCAGAGACCTGGCATGGGAAGCTGTGCTCTTGACAGCTATTCACAAAACCTTTCTGAAAGTGCCCAAGAATGAGTTGACTAATCTGTCAGTGACTTCAGCTTACTTGGAATTGCACTTGGTAAATATTCTGCTAATCACCCAACCACACCTTGCAAGTGTGCAGCCTCAGCACGCGCGCACGCTATCTCGCGGAGACGCATGTGTCATGTGTCGCAGCTGCCTCCTGCCTCTGAGCCGCCGGCAGCAGCAGGGTTACCTGCTACACAGGTGAGCCTGCGGGCTCCAGGGGTGGGGGGAGCTGGGCTGTCTTCTCAGGTCTCTCCTGGGGGTCAGCTGCTCCTGCTGTGTGCAGAGAGGCCACAGGTTGAGGCCAAATCGGAGCCGTCACTTTAGACCCTTATACCTCCTTCTAGTATTTCTAAGGATGTGTTACCACTTTGTTCTGAGACTTTATCTTAAAATATAAAGCTGGGCACTGTGGGCAAATGTATATAATCCCTACACTCTCTGAGGCTGAGGAGGGAGATTGCACGTGGGACTCCAGCCTGAGTACCTCAGTGCAGCCCTTTCTCCAAAAATGGGGAGGGGAGTGCAGCTTGGCACTGAGGCACTGAGTTCGTGTCCCAGTAGCGGAAAGAAAATAAGACATTAAAGGACCAAATTTTTTAAAGTACATACCAGTTTCTTTACTGTGTAAAGTTCTTCTTCCAAGATATTGCACTCAGCCTCCAAGCCTAGGTCGAATCCAGCACCAGGAAGGAAGAGGCACTTAGTTCACATGTGGGCAAGGAAGCCCAGGCTCACGGGCAGAGCCGCTCTCGAGGCACCTCAGCCTGCTCTTGTAACCTCTCCTCCCTCTCTGCTTGCAGTGCTCCTCTGTGTGTCGCAGTCCTGTGCTGTTGTGCATGAGCCCTGCCAGTGACCCCAGGCTTTTTATGGCTGTGAGACACGTTCGCAGTTCTCGGTAAGTGGCAACCCTTCTAAGGTTAACCCACCAGCACCGCGCCCGGGAGCCTGGGCACCATCTTAGCATCAGACACTGACCTTGCAGCTAGTAGGTATGCGAGTGCTGCACCCTTCGCTGCAGCTGTGTGGCTCTCCAGGGTAGGATCAGTCACCTGGACCCCGTGTCTAGGAAGGTGGCCTAAAGGAGGGTTGGCAGTCTGTCTGCAAAGGGCCAGATAGTAAATGTGGCCACCCTCGTGGGCCACGTGGTCTCACTTGCAGCTGCTCCCCTCTGCCGTCTTATTACAGAAGTAGCCACAGGTAGTTTGGGCACAAAAGTGTATCACTGCATCTCAGTAAAACTTGGTTCCCAGAAACTGGCAGTGAGTCCTGTCTCACTCGCAGGCTTTGGTTTTCTGCCCTACTCTAGTGCCTCCCAGGCAGACACAGGACCTGCGAGGCTCACTGCTCAGTGGGTTCCAATCACTCTGACCTGGAGAAAAGAATCTGAGAGAAGCAGAAATGAAAAAAAGCACTTGGCTAGCGAGTATGGTGTCACATGCCTGTCATCCCAGCAGTCTGGGAGGTTGAGGCAGCAGCAGGCTGGCAAGCTCAAGCCCAGCCTGGGTGGCACAGCAACTTAGTGAGACCCTGGCTCAAAAAATAATAAAAGGACTGCAGCTGTCTCTCAGTGTGAAGGCCCTGGGTTCAGTCCCCAGTACTGCACAAAGGAAAGCACCTGCCCTCACCTGCGGGCAGAGTGCACTCATGAGGACAGAAGGAGGTGTGACGCATGAAGGACTCAACACCTCGGAAGCCCCTCGCCACATAGCTGGTGGCCTCACACAGGCTCTGCGTGTACCCAGCTCCATGCTGCCTTCTTCCCCTTGTTAATTGCACGGGCATGCATAGCTCTGCGAGTGTGGGGAACACGTTTTTGTTTCCTGAGTCATGTGGCTTGGCTGTAGGTTCCTCCTGCTTTACAGTTGATAGGTGAGCTGTTGAAATGTCTTTGGAGTATCCAATATGGAGGGAGGGGTGAACCGGTAGATTGTGGCAGGTAAAGATCAAATGCCAATGCAGAGCGATTAAATTTCCTTTGATCATCAGAATCTAAGGATGCTTTAAGATCTCCTACCTTTAATATAGGCTGTAATAAATACAGTGCTTTGAGACTCTATGAGAACATTTGAATTTCATAAGTCTTGCATGTCAAAACATAGAGACAGGCTACAAATATGCTTCCCTGGGCTAGCAGTACTAATTAGGAAGTAAAGCCGTACCCCAACAAATGGCTTTGGGAATCAAGGGGTAATCAGAATCCCAATTCACAAATTTAGCAGTTTGCTTTTCTTTTTGAAAATTGCAGTGTACTCTTACAGATATTTTCATATCATTGTATCATCATCTCAAAATTATTTTGATAACAGACATAACTATATGGGCATAAGGGGTTATCTGTAGTGTCGTAAAAGATATCTGAGGAGAGTAGTTTGTGTTTTCTGTTTGTCTGCTCCCCCTGTTGAAGTATGTTGCTCCATCCTCACAATCACGTTATGCTTGCTGCGTCTCCAGCCATTGCCTCTAAATCCTGAAAGAAAGTGGTGAAGACGCAGCAGACAAAAAGAGCAGCCCTCCCAAGTAAGGCAGTCCCCTTGAAAGAGCTTTTCTTGGGCTGGGAAATAGCTCCAAGGCATAAGCACCTACCAGTCAAGCACAAAGTTCCAAGTTTGATCCTCAGACCCACATATACTAGCCTGGAACCCTGGGTGCTTTTTGTCATGCCGGCCCTGGAATCTCAGGTGCTTTTTGCTGTGCTGGCCCTGGAACCTGGTGTGGTAGCACACATCTGTAATCCCAGTACTTGGGAGGTTGAGACAGGAGGATTACTAGGAGTTTGAGATCAATCTGGGGGCTACAAAAGTGGAATATGCAAGCCCAGCCTGAACTGCATAGTGAGACCCTGTCTAAAAAACAAAAGAAAAAGAAAGAAAGAAAAACAGAAAAAGAAAATTACAAAAAAACCCCAACAAACTCTTATGACTTATTCTTACATATCATTAGCCATGCCTAACTCTAAGGTCATACGTGAAAGTATCAAGTTTAAGAAATAGTAACATTCATGGGGCTGGTGAGATGGCTCAGTGGTCTAAAGCACCTACTTAGAACAAGCTTAGCAAAGCACAGGGACTGCGGTTCAATCCCCCAGCACCACATGCCAGCCAGCCCTGCCCCCTGGTGGGCTGAGCTGGCCACACACACACACACACACACACACACACACACACACACATAAATAAATAAAATTTTAAAAAAGAAGAAATAGTAACATTCAATAATATGTCCAGTCTTATATAACTATATCTATTGATCTGAGCAACAGATTTGATGATAAAAATAGATAATGTATCAACCATTGTTAATCATTCTTGCTTTGAAAATCTGTAACATATGTATTATCGTATGTTACCCTGTTTCTGTCTTTGTTTCTGATTTTTGTTCTTGCTTTTGTTTTTACTCTTCAAAACAAAATACAATTATAATTGAAAAAGATGATGTCTTCTGGGTTCTAGCAGTAGGGAAGAAAAGCTGTAGTTGTAGTTGTAGTTAGTTAAATAAATCATGGTGTCTATTTTTTTACATGTTCAGTTTGTATTTATTTTCAGTGAATATCTACTGTCTTCTGTTGACTAGTGTCTTGTTTGAACTTTATATGCTAGAATTTCAGCCTATTTGATTTTTAATAGATACATATCTCAGGAAACATGATAGGATGATAGCAGTCTTTACTGGAAGTGCCATGGCAAGTCTGAGAAGTATTTTTTGTTTCAAGAGAGCCCCACACTGACGTTCAAGCTCCTGTGTATGTAGACCTTCTCCTTCCTTGTGGGTGAGCCCTTGTCCAGGTGACGGTGGCAGGCATGCTGGCCTCCAGCTTGTGTGGGTGGCACTGCTGATGGCTATGTGCTGTGCCTCTGTCCTTACCTGGACTTGGGAATGGGACATCACCTTCACCCTAGCCTGCTGTGGGCCCTGGTCCTGCACTCAGGCCACCTGGGATCAGGTGGCAAACATCCTGGCCCTGGCCGAGTGTTCTGTTCCAGATTGGCCTGTACAGCATAAGATGTGAGAATTCCCAGTTTACAGAATAAACAGACTTCCTGAAATGCTCTAATATATCCTCACCTGCAGCAACCTGGGTGGGGTGATCCTGAAACACAGGCTGCTTGGCGTGCTCGCAGAAGCTGATTGGTTGCTTGCTGTGGAGGCGCCACTGGCCTTGGTCAGTCTGTCTTCTTTGAAGCTCAGTTGGCCCAGATTCACAGGGCACCTTTTCCGCTAGGGCTCAGCAACCCTCAGTGACTTGGTGAATTACTTAATGTTCCTGAGAAGTGGGGCTAGAAATGGAGCCATGGTAGCTGGGCCTGGTGGCACAAGTGGGATCTCAGGAGTGTGGGAGGCTGAGGCAGGAGGATCGAAAGTTTGAGGACAGTCTGGGTAACTTAATGAGACCCAGTTTCAAAACACAGGGAGAAAAAGGCTAGGAATGCAGCTCAGTGTAAAGGCCTTGCCACAGACCCTTGTGCAGAAAGGAAGAAAGAAAAGGAAGGTAGGAAGGAATGAAGGAAAGAGGGAAGGAAAGAAGAGTTCACTAAGGAGTGTTCTTGCAAGGATTATTTGAGATAATGGAGGTAGAGTGCTCTGTGCAGGGTGTGGATCAGAATGACAGTGTTGATTTAGAAACACGAGCACAGGATCCTGGGAGCTGCTTTATCAGATTGTACCTTGAACTTCCTCACTGTCTTCTTTTTAAGTCAGACTCTTATTTTATTTTGTTTTATTTATGTTTGTTGCTGTTTGAGATGGGGTCAAGCTGGTCTTAAACTCTCTGTGATTCTGCTGCCTTAGCTTCCCAAGTGCTACGATCGATTACAGGTGTGCCCCTGGTTTATTCTTGATTTTTTTTTCATGTTTCAAATATTAAATTAGTTTTAAAACATAGAGGTACAAATGTGGGCAGTGAGGGGTTGGTTAGCCTGTCTTCCACTTGTTGCTTTGTTGACTGTAGAAGGCACCCGACTGGTCTCACACAAACAGTGCTGCAAAGACCCAGTGCTTGGAGCCCGAGCTACATCCTCCATCCTGGGAAATGCTGCGTTTATGATGGTGCCCTGTCTTTAAGCCTCCTGGTTGGGATATATTTTGGCTCTAAGTCAATCAGCTGGTTTTATCTTCTACATTGAAGTAGAGGGCATCTTAAATTTCTACACATTTTATTTAATTTAAAAAAATGAGCACTTGATCTATCTGTTCTGAAATGCATATACTTCTCTTCTGCCAGAAAGCTCAAGGTTCTGTAGACTGACAGGAGTTTGACGTAAGTATCTCTCATTGTTAGCACTAATTTTTTTCACCTGCTTAAGAAGGTGACCTAATGCTTTTGCTATATTGTTCTGGCCTGTCTATGTGTGACATTTGTTGTACATTGTGATTTTGTTACCTAAAAGCTGAAGCAAAAGAGGGACCCTTCAGCCTATCTTTGTGCTGTATCACATAGTTTTTTTGGTGGGAAAGGGTGAAGCATACCAAATCTCCTACTCTTGTTTACTTGACCTGTAACTAGGGTTATCTGTGAGATTAAACTTGCCATTTATTTTATTAATGTGTTGTTTATACCCTTTCAACATGTGAAATAAAAGGACGTGATTAAAATATAGTTTAAAGCCTCAGATTTGGTTGTAGATAGCCTTTTTGGGAAAGAAAAATATAAAGTTCAGTGATTTTTAGTCAGAGTAAGTGAACAAGTTGGGAAATACTTTTGTTACACTCCTAATAGCCTGCAGAATAGCTGACACCCAGCTTTATTTAATCTCTGAAAATATATAACACTCCTGTCTCCAAATATTTCAAAAAACTAAAATAATAACTCCCAAAAGGAGCAGCAGATCCATGTAATCTGAGACCTAATGGGAGCTGTTTGCCTGGGATTCATGATAACCTGGACCAGCCCCTCTCTAC